GCTCCTCATTGGTCCTCTTTAACCATTTTCCTCTACACTCGATCCTTCATTTCGCTCGAGCTTGATTCTTCCCATGTTTGTCCATGCTCGATCCCTGACATATCATTCATCCACCCCTAGGCTCCGATCTGCGGTCACCCTCGGCCTTACTCGAGCCAGCGTCGAATCACGTTGTTTTTCGTTTCTTCATCGGGAAATCGGGGGTAACTTTTATCCCCGATTTTACCCGTACACAATGTTTGCATGCATATTTTCTCATACTTTCTAAGCTGAGAGTTGCCTTTATGCCAGTATTTCATTTTCATCTGTGTCGACATAATTCTTGATTGGGGTACACTACTCTGTTGTCCAAATAATTTTGACCCATTTACTCGCTATCTGAAGAGCTAAAGAATTTTTCAAATTTTTCTCAAACAAATTTTTCTAGCGTTTTTTCATTTTGAATTATGTGGTTAACAATGTCTTCTACGTAATCCTTAAATTTGAACCCTTGTTTTTATGAACAGGTATATCAATGTTCAATAAGAAATAGATATTAGTCCTCGTAGGTCAAGATCCCTTTAAACAAACAAATGGGTGTTGTGCAGTATACAATATACTAATAAGTAAAGTAAGTATATTATGGAATGCTATTCACTCATATGCTGCTACTTTTATTGCAGCATTTTCTGATAAATTATTGTATGTCTGAGTTGGAACCTTGGAATCAGTCCATGGACAATGATAATAATAACAACTTTCTCAACAGCCAACGTCATTCTTCAAACCTCCAAATAATGTTGCAAAATGTAACGTCAATTGTGAGATATAGAGACGTAAACAAATTGCATTTCCACTGGACGAATTCACAAGCTCGTAAAGATGTGAAACTCAGTGTGGTAATCCTATCAGTTTCTAAGAAATCATGTTCTGATTCATCATCATGCTGTAATCTAATTAATCATGCAGCGGTTCAAAGCTATTAACTGGTCATAAGCCTATTTAACTTTAGTAGTGATGGTATGCTGTTCCCTCTGAACATATATTATATGAGAAGAATTTCTTTGAACCTATTCATTGGTACCTACTCTTTATAATGAATCTACTCTTGTACTTTGGAGTCATCATGTTATTTCTTGTTTACCGTCAAATTTGGAGATGCAATTGAATGAAGACGAACAGTGCATATGTGCGTTTCGATGATGGTACCATTACCTCCTTTGTTCCCTAGCTAGGTTTGGATTAATGACGCTATAGCTACAAGTTGAGGTTTCGTTGGGTTAAAAGCACTTGGACAAATACTAATCGGAGTCCGGAACCTAAATATGATCTTTTTAGACTCAAATGACCGAAATGAGTGAAAAAATAATAATGTGACCAAACTATATATAGCGCCCTTTTAAAGGGCGCTATACATGAAGTTGATTAGACTGCCATGTATAGTGCAGTTTATTAAGGCGCTATATGTATATCGCCTTAATAAACAATGCTATACCCCTTCAAATATCCGTCCCTTCCCTTTCCCCCGTTACAGAACCAAAACAACCCCCACCCCCCTACCATTTTTAAAATCAAACCAGCGAACACCCCATTAACGACCCAAAAAAACTCGAGTGGACCCCACCCGTCCCACAAAAAGTAAAGATTATTGATCCCACATCCTAGCTAAGCCTTCTCTCGTTGTGGGTTGCTCGTTTCGGATTCAAATCTTCAACTTTCCAAAAAACATAAATCAGAGGTATTCCGATTTAGTTTTTGTTGAAACTCGTATAAAAAATGCATATTAATTATTTTAAATGTGTTCTATGTTGTTTTGTATTTTTTTTGCGATTAAACTGATATGTTATTTTTATCCGGACTAAGATATTAGTGTGCTAAAAAATATGTAAAAATTGAGATATCATTATTATTTGTTCCAAAAAATGTTGATAAGTTACTTTTTACTGTTATATATGTATTTTCGTGAATGTTTTGTGATTAAATATATTTTTTATTTTTATCTCATTTAGATTATTTATTTGCTTAAAGACTAGTGATATAGTGCCCCTTTAGCATAGTAAAATATAGTGCCTTTTAGCGTAGTATCCCTGTAGTTATTGAAATTAATCATTTAAATATCTCTTATACTCAAAAATATGTCAAAATAGTTGATAGATCAAATACAAACTCTGTTCAATTCTAGTCAACGATAGTAAGAAAATAAATGAGAAAACAACAATATTTTTCTGGATATCTTGGTGCTACTGGGCCTCAAATATCGAGCCTGAAACCCATATGTGAATATTTAATAATTAAATCTTATATAATTATAAAAATTAATTATTTAATTTACAAACAAACATATAAAATTATAAAACCAATATGTAAAATAATAAAACTAACACATACCTGTTTTCTTCTTGCTCGCACGCAACATCCAATGACAACTCGTAAACCATCTACGACAAACAACCTTGTATACATCCGGAGTTGACTCTCATACCGTCATCTCACGACACTCTTTTACGCTGTACATTTTCGCCGCCCTGCTTAGGCGCATTTTATCAGAAAAAGCATGCCATTTGCCAGCACCGTTGGCCTAGACTCATCCCACATTGCTGTCCGAATTTCGTCAGTATCCCTTGTGAGGGCATCCGCATCCGGCATACTTGGCAAATGATCAAGGTAGGGAATCTCCCTTGAATGAAACGGCACTTGGGACTCGTACACTCTTAGTCTAATGGGGGGTGGATTATGTTCCCTCATCAAATCAGGTCCAAAATTCTCTTTCTCCTCATCACCACCCTCATCAGGGAAGGGTGTGTCACCTCCGGACTCATCGGCATTGTTATCATAATCACTGTTCTCTTCCTGACTCTGTGCATCTGCCAGATCCTGATTAAATATGTCATCTTCGGGCAATTGAGTCAGGGCAGGAGGTTTAACTTGCTCGTTTTCACTGCACAAACAACAAAATAATGAGCTACTCAAATTGTCAAACACTTTACATATAAGCTATATCACTTCACTTACAAGTCGTAATGTGTTGACATCCCATGATGGACATTATCCTGTTGGTGATGACTCCCGGATGGACCACCATGATCCAACACACCAGAACTACGCATATTCCAACTAGGCGTGGGTTCATAACTTGTAAAATTCATATCTTGTCGGTACCCACTGTGGAATATATGAGTGTTAATACAAATTCATTACAACAAAAATAAATATCGTAACACAAAGGAAAATTGAAGTTTATCACTCGTCTTGTGAATTATGTAAAGTAGGAGAGAAATTATTTTTTCGCTCCTCATTCGCTCGTGGAGATAAGTTTAAATCAGGCCAAACTCTTTCAGCCGGAACCTGTTCGGCAAAACCTACTCCAGAATAACCACCCGATGACTGAGGGTTATCCCTGCTTTGCGCCACCTCATTATTGCGAACGTCTTCAACCTTCACGTACATTTCTAACATTTTTATCAAAAGAAATTTCCGGTATTCATCCGTAGTCCTCAAAATATCACTCAAAGTTTCATCATCCTGGATGTTAAACTCAACATAAGAAGCAATCCCTTGCGGAGTGACAAAATACGGATATCTTCCTGTTACTTTAAGGTTCACCGAACGTTTGCTCACACTCATTTTGTTACACAACAACGATACAAGTCTATCGTACTCCATTGTAAGTGGCAACTTAATATGACGCTATGGAGATAAACTATAGCTCACTGAGTTATTCGCCACTACAACCTCACTCCTCAATATAATGAAACCCTTACTTTTCGCTCTTCAGACATTATGACAAAATGCTTGAGAATTTAACAAGAAGAAAAATTTAATAGGAGTTGAGAATATTTCTGAATGAATTTTTGCAAAATCCTTAACGCCTTTAAATAAGCCAATGCCCAATCCGGGGGGGTCGAAATATGTATAACGCTGTTTATAAAGGCGCTATACCTGCTAGTCTAATCAACTTCATGTATAACGCCCTTTAAAAGGGTGCTATATATAGTTTGGTCACATTATTTTTTTTTCCACTCATTTCGGTTATTTGAGTCTAAAAAGACCACATTTAGGTTCCGGACTCATACTAGTTGGAGTGCAAATCAATTGCCTCCATATTATGATCTCCTAGATCATTTGCTCCTTTTCGCTTTCTAGGATTTTATAAAGGCGCTTAGACTCATTTGTATTTATAGATTGTCCAATCGGGACATCAATTCGAATAGAAGCATTAGCAGCTGGAATATGTGACTTAGTCACCCTTGATAGGTTAGTGAATGCATCTGACAGTTGATTTGTAATATTTTGCAAATAAATTATTTTTTGAACCTCGTGTTCACATTGATTTATTCGAGGTTATAAATGAGATAGTGATAATACATTCAAATCTATTTCTTTTTGCAATTACTTATTTTCTCCCACTAATATTGAGAATACTGATTTATCAAAATGGAAATCATAAGAGAGGATCAAAACAGTGGCACCTCAAACACATTATTAACATCAATTAGAGGTCCATTCAAAGTCAATCATGACGATCGGCCTTGTTTGTTTTTGAGTAACGAAGAAGATAGCATCCCACGTGGATGTTTATGAAAACATACGTTGAAAAAGTTATTCAATACTGATTAGAGATCAGTTCTCAATTAAATATGACTCATTTGGCAGATATGTGCGTCAGTATCTTTATTTTAACACCATATTAATTTAGTTGACAAATTAAGAAGAATTCTATGCTATCTAACCAAGTTCCTTATAAACTTCCTGGCTAATTAAACGGTGCTATATAAATTGGGAATAAGAAGTGTTATTTTCAATAGCAAAAAGAATGAAAGTTGTGTGCTCCTTTTTCCAGAATTTACATTATCGAGGCTCTATCCTAATCACATCTCACATGTAGAATTAATAAACTAGATCTAGGAATGTTCAAACCTAATTCCCTCTATGTATTATTGTTTTACTTCTAATAATATCAGCCAAGATAATTCAAAAACAAAGGAATCTCTCAACGAATGATCCATACTATGCACAACAGGTGGAACAACTAGTCAATAGAAATAGAAAATCAAATTTGCATTACAAACCTCGTACACAGAGAGAACAAATGAATTGAATTTCAAATGAACAGCTGGCTTGTTTATTTGGACATAAAACCATCTAATAAGCTTAAAGCTACACTTGCTTTTGAAAATGGAGTCCCTTTTTGAGGACAAAGTAGAAGAACATTATAATTAAGCTGATAAATTTTAAGGACATTTGCGAGTGTTGTTATGAGTAGTAAGGTTGAAATAGCAAGGACAAGCTTCATAATTGCCAGAAGTCCCTGGTGGTACGCAATGACATCTATGGCAGCAGCTTCCACAAGCTCTGTTGCATAGATTTGGCCGAGACGATTCGCTGCACCTATATTCACAGGCTCCGGTGCAATCTGTTTAACCAGTACCCCAACAAAAAGAAAAGAGGAATCACATGAGAAATTAAAAAAACTATAGACACTAGATACATAAAAAAAAACATTATACTCCTTAGTAGGAGTAATTATTTCTTAATTTGTTGTGGGGGGAAAATGTAAATGTCAGATTACTTAGTGGCTGTGAAACTTGAGGGGCTGGTGCTGGTGGCTTGCTGTAGTCAACCTGCGCCAAAACATTACAAAATCCAATGTTATTTCAAGATGAAAGAGTTAACAACATGATTTTGCTATTTGAGATTTAAAATTGAAGAACCTTTTGAAGGGCATTAGTGAAATGGAGAAGCATAAAGGAGGCAATTAGCAAAGCAGCAAATGCTTTTTGGAATACCATTTTTCAGTAACAAAGAACGAAGGAGAAAACTGAGAGCTCGGATTAACTGAGCTTGGAAGTGAAGCAAAAAGAAGAGTGATGTATCATGAATTTATAGCACAAGGAAAGAAAGCACCCCACCGTATTCTTTCTTGGGGTATAGCCGTATAGGATTTAAAACAATACACGGACAATGTAAAAGTATTATGCTACTATATTAGTTTAACTAGCTATAGACTATAGCAATAGTAAGTTATTTATTATTTTTATTAGATTGTAAATAACTGCAATAATTATGCTCGGAGATGATTTACTTACTATGCTACTGTATTAGTTAAAAGACTTACGTAAAAATAACATCAGAGGCGGATTTGTTCTTGGAAAAGAGGGGTCACTAGAACCCGTTATCACAAAAATTTTAAATATATAAGTGCACGTATATATAGAAAACAGTCCTATATAGTTTGCTTGAAGCCTTAAGTCTAAACACTAGTCAAAACACTGAATGAGTAGTTCACCCCTGTACTCGCCACTTATAAATTAGTACTTTGGTTGTGTAAATCTTTTTTTTGAGTAACTAAAACTTAAACTCTACTCAATATGGCAACGGCGGGAACATACCTACTTGTCCCAGTGATGATGCTGGCAAGAAATGGGAAGTAGCTAAGAAGGTCGCATTGCCAGCCTAACTTCACAGTGTACTAGAGTTTTGGAAAAAGAGTTTCCTTGGAATACTAGTCTTAGAAAAAAAACATTAGCTGGACACCAGTAAGATCCGATACTGTGATCTTAGATTACAAGCATATATTATACGATAGAATCTCCCAAGTTTGCACTAAATTATTATTATAAGCTCATAAATTTTGCTAAATGACATATTTATTCACTTAGATCGCTTAAAATTTTGTGATATAATAAGTCCTTAGCTGAAGTTTTGTCTGACTATTCGTTGGCAAATTGTCTGACACTGGTTTTATTTATTTTGACAAATATGTTACGGAGATACGGAACCTAGACCAAAGGCAATAGTAATCACTAAGTTTTAAACAACATCATGACTTAAAGTTAAATATCTACCTTTTCTTTTTGTCGGTTTCAAAACATTGTCCCCTGTCTTTGTAGGGAAATGTTGAAGTCGAGTTATACGTAACAATTCGGTCGGTCGTTTTGAGAGTTATAGTCTTGTTTTTCTATTTAATGTTCGTTTTATGCTTAATAGTTGCTATGTGACTTGCCGAGGTAGCTGGTTAGGGTCCGGAGAGGTTTCGGAATGAGTTGAGATACTTAGTCTCAAGATTGGAAGCATATGTTGAAAATATTGACCGAATGTTGGCTTGTGTGGAAATGGCTCCGAATTGGAGTTTCGATGGTTCCGTTAGCTCCGTTGGGTGATTTTGGACTTAGGTCCGGATAGTGATTTGGAGGTCCGTAGTTGAATTAGGCTTGAAATGGCGAAAATTAAAAGTTTAGAAGTTTGACCGAGAGTGGACTTTATGGTTACCGGGCTCGGATTGGGGTTCCGGGAGTTGGAGTAGGTCCGTGGTGTTATGTGTGCAAAATTTAAGGTCAATCGGACGCGATTTGATATGTTTCGACATCGAATGTGGAAGTTAGAAGTTCAAAAGTTCATTAGGCTTGAATAGATGCGCGATTCGTGATTTTAGTATTGTTTGATGTGATTTGAAGGCTCGACTAAATTCGTATCGTGTTTTAAGACTTGTTGGTATAGTTGGTTGAGGTCCCTGGGCCTCGGGTTGGTTTTAGATGCTTAATGAATCGAATTTGGGATTTGAAAGATTGCTGAAGCACCAGCTCTGGTGCAATCGCACCTGTGAAATTTTGATTCGCAAGTGCGAGCTCGTAGGGGAGCGCAGAAGCGGCCTGGGAAGGGGAGTGCAGTGATCACAGGTGCAAGGGGATTTTCGCACCTGCATGGTCACAGATGCAGCGTGTTTGGCACAGAAGCGGAGTTGGCCAGCTGGGGGTCTGTGCGCAAGTGCGATGAAATTTTCGCACCTGCGAGAGCGCATATGCGGAGGAAGTGTCGCAGAAGCGAAAGAGGGCCTGTGGTTAAGTGATCCAAAGAAGCGAAAAGGCTGCACATTGTATTAAAATCGAGAGTTCCGTGATTTTCATCATTTTTGGACATTTCAAGCTCGGCTTAGGCGATGCATGAAAGGGATTTCAAAGGGATTCTTGAGGTAAGACACTTGTGGTTATTTTTATTCAATAATTATGTTTCCCCATTGAATTTCCCACCTAGTTTGTGTATTTTTGAGGTGTAATTTTGGAGGTTGAGGCTAGGGATTTGGAGAGTTTAATTTAGGGATTTAAGTGACGATTTGGTGTTGGATTTTGGTAAATTGAGTATGGTTGGACTCGTGGTTGAATGGGCTTCCGGATTTTGTGACTTTTATTGGATTTGGAGATGTGGGCTCGGGGCCTACCTTTGAGTTGACTTTTTGAATTTTGATTAAGAACTTAGTATTTTCTTATGGAATTGATTCTTTTAGCTCATGTTGATTATATCGAACTGATTGTGGCTAGATTCGAGGCATTCAGAGGTCGTTTCGCGAGGCAAGGGCTTGTTGGAGTAGAGTTTTGCACAATTTGAGGTAAGTAGCACTTCTAAGCTTGGTTCTGAGGGTATGAAACCCTGAATTACATGCTATGTGATTGATGTTGAGGTGACGCGCATGCTAGGTGACGAGCGTGTGGGCGTGCACCGTAGAAATTGTGATTTAGTCGATTCCCTAGAACCGCGTAGCTATTTTATCTGAACATTTTTGTTGTACTCTATGTGTTAGAGTACTTGAGCTGTGATTCATGCTAGAAATCATGTTTAGGCTATATGCTGGTACTATTGGGACCCACAATGGCCGTTCTTTGCTGTTGAGTTATTTGTTTAATTGCTGTTGTATACTCAATTAGATTCATCATTATGTGTCATATCTCAGTCTCTGGTATCGTATATTGTCACATCTAGTATCATTGATTAGGGCTACTTAGCATGAGTGTTGTGAGCTCGAGAGACTGGAGAGATTGGTGACTGAGTTGGGGCCTTAGTGCCATGATGTGAGTGATATCTATATATAAGTGGATCGAGTTGCACGCCACAACAAGCCTTATGGCTATATATATGTGGATCGGGTTGCACGCTGCAACAAGTCTTATGGCTATATATACGTGAATCGGGTTGCACGCCGCAACAAGCCTTATGGCTATATATATGTCGATCGGGTTGCGAGCCGTAATAGGCCTTATGGCTATATGTGGATCAGGTTGCACGTCGCAACAGGTATCGTACAGTGCTCAGTGACTGAGCGTGACGAGCGAGAATTAAGACGGGCAGATTGAGTGCTCTAAGAGTGTGAGTACTTGGGGATTTCACAGTGTTTCATCAGATACGATATTCACATTGGAACGTAGCTATAAAGACGTCATACTCTTCTTATCAGTCACACTTGACAAATTTTATTTGTACTAAACTTAATTGCTGAATATAGAAGCATGCCTACTTTTCTGTATTATTAAACTCTGTATCTTTACTGTATTGTTTGAGCTCGTCACTGCTTTCAGACCACATGTTAGACTTGTTACTTATTGAGTTGGTTGTACTTACGCTACACCATGCACTTCGTGTACAGATCCAGGTATTTTCGGGCACGGCGGTTGCTGATTCCTGGCGTTTCATCAGTTCGGAGATCATCGAGATAACTGCCTTGGCGTCCGCAGACCTTGACTCTCCTCCTTTATCTTTTAGCCTTGTTTATACTGTTCTACTTTCCTAGACAGTGTTCCATTGGTTAGACCGTGTGGTTATGTAGATGCTCATGTACTCCGTGACACCCGGATCTTTTGGGAGAATTTTGTACTGAGTTACGATGTTTATATTCAGTCTTTACGAATTTTTTACTTATTTAAACCTATTTTCTTATATTTGGGATTTAAAAATGTTGGTATGTGTGAAACATCGGCTTGCTTGGTACCACGATAGGCGCCATCACGACATGTCGGGCTTTGGGGTCGTGACATTGTCATGACCCAAACTCCCTTCGTATAACGTTGTGACGACACCTAGTCTCTACGACTAGGTAAGCCTAACAAATTGTAGAAATATAACAAAATCGAAAGTAAAACTTGGCAACTAACAACAACAAATAACTGAATAACTAGTAATAATGCCGCTCGCCATGTACAATAACCAATACTCTATAATACATAGTCTTCCCAAAACCCGGAATATCGTAAGTCACAAGCTATAGAAGGAAACTAGTATCTCTATACACCAGAGGCTAACAAAAGATGTACGGAAGGTAAATGTCATAGGAGAGAATAGAGGGGGACTCCGAGGTCTATGGACGCGGCAGATGTACCTTGAAATCTCCGTACAACAGCAAACATGTAACACCCCGAAAAATTTCGAAGTACTTAAGTGTAAAGCCCGGTAAAGTTTGTAAAGAAAATAATGTTACATGGTACCGAACTAGGCTTTCGCGCGGCTCGAACTTTTTGGGTTGAACAATGCACCGAAAAGTAAAGGAAAATTTTCGGTGGAAAAGTGCATTTCTGCGGTCCATTATGAGACCGCAGAACCACTCTGCGGACCGCATAATGGCCGCAGAGTTAGGCAGTTGATTGGGTCATTTGGAAGCAACTATGCAGTCGACTATGCAACCGCATAACTATTATGCGGTGCATTATACGACTGCATAGTGACCACATACACAGGCAGTTCTTTTGGCTATTTTGTAACCAAATATGCGACCGATATGTGGTCCGCATATTGGTTATGCGATCGCATACCTTGTTCCGGAGCTCCATTTTTGGATTTTTAAAACCTGACCCTATTTCGTTAAATACACTCTTTGGGCCATTTTTGAGACATAATCTAATATTTTAGAGTGAGAGAGAGTGCCCTAGAGTGAGAAGGTGTTCTTCCATAATTTTTCTTCAATTCTTGCTCAAGTTTTGGAAGATTAAGAAGGGAAGCTTACTAGGTCTTCATCCTAGAGGTAAGATTCTACACCCTAAACCCTAATTTCGAAATTTTCTGAAAATGGGTAATGTCACGATCCAAAAGTAACCCCCTG